TATCAATATATTATATATACAGTCAATGAGTAAAATTACAAATAATATCAATATTCATATATACAGCCATGAGTAAAAGTATAGAAATAATTATGGAGTAAAAAGTATATCAAATGAATACCGAATATATATTAGTATATATAGCGTATATATAGTTAAGTCAAATGAATAAAATATAATAATGAGCGAAATATACAAAAAAGTACGGAAGCCGGAGAACGGCCATGGATTTTTTTTTTTATGCACTGTTACTCCGTGATAACGAATAATTATTTCGTTATCTCGAGAAAACAAAGATCGTTATCTCGTGATAATGAATTAATTATTCTTTACTTCAAACTAATGCGCTGCCACAACGGCTTCCGTCACTTACCGGTCGGCTACAGCCTCAGCCAGTGGCTACGGACATTATCGCATTAGTTTAAAATCAAGACGAACACATTATTAAACAAGATAACAATTTGTTATGTTGAGAAATAAACGAAATAATTAATTTGTTTATCTCCGAGAAAACAAACTTTGGTACACAAGAGCTGGCCACGAAGCGGCTTCCCGTAGCCAGCCTGGCTGTAGCTTGTAAGCTATAACGTAAATTTTTTAAATAGGCTAACGGTAAATTACACTTTACGTTGGTTTGTTTACTTGACTGGAAGCCATTGTGGCAGCTCTTGTAGGTTGAAATCAAGACGAACAACAGTAATGGAATTTGTGGAAAAGTTGCGCTGAATTGCAAGGTCGAACAGAATTCCTGGGGATTAGAGTTTGCGTTAACTATTGCGATCGCAACATCACAACTTCCTGGAGGGACTGAAATATATAGAATATGGAAGAGAATATTATGATGTAGCATATAATAAGATAAATAGTAACAATATACCAGTAATGTAATACTGTTATACAGTGAGATAAGTAATATAATGCAATATATTAGTGTTATAGATTATATTACTTACAGTCTCTGTTTCGGTGAATCCCTAAAGACGATCTTCTCTTTTAAAATAAACCCACTTTCTTGCAATCTAGAATAGTTTTTAATGTTTGCTCTCCTGCTCGAGTTACGTACACGACTTCAGGAGCACGAACCCTGATAATTGTGTCATCAAATTCTCAGATGACGCAGCTATCTTGGGTTTAATGCACAAGAATAGCTCCCCATCAGTATAAGGGGAGAGTTGTGAAATGGTGTGATTAGAGCCATCTCACACTGAATGTAAAAAAGATGGAGGAGACAGTTTTTGATCCCAGAGGTAAAAGCCTGTGGTTATCCATCACGAATCCATCACTCACATCAGTTCCTGCAGGAAACTTGTAGTTTACACTGACAGCACATCAACCTGGGAGGATCATATTGAGAGATTGTGCTCCTGATTTCAGTAAAGACTGCATTTCTTACACAGGCAGGGTTTATGGAGCAGCGCAGTCCTGGAAAGTATCATAAGATTCAGTATTTCAGTTGCCAATGGTGACTTAAATGTGCAGCGAAACACCTTTGGGCAGACAGTTTGGGAGATTATAGAGCTCGGCAACACCTTGCATGAGTTAGCTTTTTTTACGACATGCAATTAAAAGTGTCTCTGACTATGTTCATACTCTTCCATCACACTCTGGTATAGTCCATATTTGAAACTTTTCTCTTCTTTTGTTCTTACATCAATCAAGCTTTCTAAAGGAGTGAATGTCCTGACTTCAGTGGAGTAAGTGCACTTGTTTGCTGTGAGTATTCATTCAGTTTAATTGCTGTTTGGGGGACAAAAAGTTAACAGGATCCTTTTCTCAACATATTATGTATTAAGTGATGTGCAACATGCAACAGTATCTTTCAGATTATTTACATTTTATTGCCAAAAGTATGTAGATGCCCACATATTCACAATTTATCTTCCAGCTTTGTTGCAACAGTTTGGCTATAAAAAAAATGGTTTTCCCAGTTTGGTGTGAGCCAGACCTTATGAGTGATGAGAGCATCAGTGCTGGATCACCCTGATGCTCTCATGGGAGCAATTCCCAAACATTCCCAGCATTCCCAAAATGTTGTGGAAAGCCTGAAACCAGAAGAGCTGAAGCCGTTATAGCAGCAGATTAATGCCTGTGGTTTTGAAGTGAGAATATGAACAATCGCATTTGGGTGTCCACATACTTTTGGCCATGTATTGCATCTATGGTTAAGACTAAAATTCAATTATTCATTTAAATATAGGTAAATGTAGATGCAAGAAATATGGCTGTTAAGGATTTGAGGTCCCCAAAGTTAAAATTATATATTGTATGTATGTATCATTTGAAGCAGAATATTCAAAAACAGAAGCAAACAATGATTTGTGAACATCAAAATCAAATTCCTAAGAGAATTCATCTCAAATTAGGTTTTAAAACTCACCAAAGGCGTATTGACAACAACAGTTTCTCCTTGGCACAGATCATGTGCACCAAAAGTGGGGCATTGCCCCAAATTAGGGTCGAGGCCATGAAAGAATGAGGACCATTTTAAATTGTGTTCCCAGTCCCTGACACTTTATGAACAGTTGCCACTTCCACGGCCACAGACACTTCTTCCTCCACAGCCTGGAAAACAGAAGGTGTGAGGAGCTTTCATGTATGGAGGACGCAGCATTGGTGGAGACATGTGGCTTTAAATGTAAGCTGTTGAATTGTTTGCATTCAGCTCGTGCTATAAATACACTCCAGCGTGCTTATTATCAACTGCTTTTATCTTATTCCCTCTCAGCTGCTGCACTGTGTCCGGGGTCGGCTGTAATCTGAATTCTTTAGGGGATGCATATCTAAAAAAGAATATTAGATACATGAATCTTTTTGTTGCTGAGAGATTGGCTGCTCTCTCTCTCTCTTTCTCTCTCTCTCTCTCTCTAAAATGCAGGGTGACTCAAGCAGTAGACATAGATGTTCTCGTTAAAAGGAGAGACTGACGCTCCTATTCCCGCGACATCATCATCCTACACTAGTGGAGCTCCACGGTGCGCGTTGTGATGCTCAGTCCTGCACAGTAGCAGCTCCAGGAGGCGTGCTTGTCCCCTGCCACAGGAGCCCAGGAGGAGGACCAGCAGAGGCCAGCAGGCTTTTTTTACCTGGCACTTGACACTCCGTGAAAGAGAGCGCTTTTTTGGGGGGGTGTTCTGCCCCAGCCTCTCACTCTCCCGAGCGATGGCATCCACGGATCGATCCACGGGAGCGCGTGAGTTACCCTCTTTATACAACCCGTGCAATGTCTTTCATGTGACGGATACGGTGTGTGCTGAAGATACAGAGCAGACTGGATGTCTAACAGTGCACCACAGCCATGTTTTAGACATCGCACCAACAGCCTCGTCTCGAAAAGGGCCAAACAACGGGGGTTGTAAGCTGAAAAAATCCTCATCTGCTCTGTTTATTTATTGTACGCGCAATTTATTTGCAGTGGCCACAGCTGATGCATACATCTCTGCTTAAAGGAGACGCTTTGGCAGCATCAGCAGCACACAGAGCAATGCCCTGGCCGCAGGCAGCCTTCAACTTCAGCTCAGTGAGGATGGAGAGCGGTCAGCAAAAGTAGTCTACATCTGTCGGGTCGTTGTTCTCTAGCAGGCTTTTATCACTGTGTGTTAGTATCCAAGTGAGTTATAAGAAATGATAATTAATAATCTTTTATTAAACATCAGCAGAGCCTTCAGTAAAGACACAGCAGCTGCACTTGCGCTGTATAGTATCCACTTGGAATATCATTTGAATTTTAATTGTAGGCCTGATGGACTGATGATATAAACGCACTTTCCAGAACATCAAATACAACTGCCTTTGAGACCCTGTTATTTATATCTGAAAATGTGTCCACGCAAAACAAACAAAAAAACTAAAGTTGGAGTTATCTGGATGGCAACGTTTCAGATGACTGAAAATGTTAAAAGTAAAAGACCCACCTCTTATAAATATTTCAGCATAGCCTCCTATCAACCCCTTAACGTCCCTCTAAGAATGTTTAGAAATTTTTGCCCAGTAGATGTTTTAATCTGGAAAATTGACATTATTTATTTTATAACAACGCTCACTGGACTCACTATATATTCTGTTGTAACAAGAATAAAAGTCTTCAGCCATGTTAGCAGCTCTGTGAGGCGCATGCTCACAGTAAAAATGCTAACAATCTGATGTTTAGCAGATATCATGTTCATGTTCACCATAGCATGTTAACATGCTAACATTTGCTAATTAGCAATAAACACAAAGTACAGCTGAAGCTGAAGGGAATGTCATTAGTTTTGCATTAATTTGGTCATAAAGCAAAATATTGGACAAATGGAAATTTTGTCGGCGGTGAATGAAATGTCACCAAAGTTATTGTGATGCATCCTGTGGGGACCATTAATGTACCATTTCACTACACTACTAACATTTGTTGAGTCATTAAGATGCTTCATCTGGGAACCGTGAGAGTCTGTACATACGTTTATGCCAATCCATGAAGCAGATGTGGAGATATTTTACTTGACGTGTGAAGACGCTGACCTGCTGGTGGTGCTAGATCAGATCAGGGGATCATGAAGTCATTAGTATTTATCCATTTATCCACTGGGAACCATGGATATATGTGGCATTGCATGGAAATCCATCCAATATTTGTCAAGTTATTTTAGTCTGGAGCAAGGTCGTGGACCAGCCAGCTGACACTGCCTGCCCTACAGCCATGCCACTAGCATGGCTAGACATATAAACAGTCTAAGGGAAGGTGCTAATAGGGCCGTTAGAAGGTTTTGAGGAATATTTCTGGCTTGGAAATTCAAACATTGGTGAAGGATAGACAAATACAAGATGAGACCAAAATGGAAAACCAAAATCGCTCTCCTTTTATTGGAGGAGCTTGCACGTGAGTGTAGCTGTATTGAATATATGATGATAAAGATGTTTCAGATTAAGTAGCAAACCCTGCCTTGATAACAAACACACAGGGCTTTTGTATGAACTGGGGCTTTAATGGGGGGCCCGTTGTTCCTCAGAAACCCAGCAGTGGATTAAGAGTGGACAGCGGCGTGGTGCTGAAATGCAGCCGGGTTTATCCTCACTGTTCCTCTCACGGATAAGAGAAATGTGGTGGGCTGATAACTCCTAATGGTGAAAGAGGAGCTACGCCGAAAAGAACCTGACTCCCTCTATTAGCATTCAGATCCCTGATTCAAGTCATTATTTCACATGCTCAGACAGGCCTGATAATTAGCTCCATGCCAAAGTCTGTCAGTCACTGTCTCTGCAGTGGCCTTTAAGAGGGGTCAGTAGGTTACATTAAGAACTCCTTATTTCTCGCTTCCCATTCATCTACTGAGCCCGATCTTCAGACTTCAGTTGATTACCACCACTTCATTTGAAGTATTCAACCCACCCTTCTTGTCGGTTCCCAGGGGGTCCCGTCCAAGGGAGGTAATTTAAGGAAATGAATCATGGCTTAAGCTTTCCTGCTAATCACCAATCACATAGCCACCGTCCTGCTGTACAGTCTCTCACAGGTCTGGGCTTGTTTTTCTGTATTTCTGCCCTCGTTAATCATGTTTTTTTTTTCCACACTTTTAAATTGGATCGCAGCGAGCTCCTCCATGCTTGAAGCTGTTGTATAATGTACTTTGTTATGTGCTGATGAGTGCTGTTGATGCTGTTTTTCTGAAACATGATGCGCTGTGAAGGGAGGTTATGCCTATGATTTCATTCTCATGAGGAAATGGCCTCTCAGTCTGATTTGTTTTATTAGATTTATACCAGGGGCACTAAATACAATATAATATACCTAATATACCATATATATATATTTTTGTTTTATTTAGCTTGATTGGCATCAGGACACTTGAGGAGAACTCACCAACAGGTTGGGTCTGGCTCTGTCGTCACGGATGATTCCTCATCCGTGACACACCCGTTTCTGTTTGTTGCATTTGTGAAGTTAATTAGTGTTTTTTGGAAGCTGCTTTGTGCCAGCTGACCTTGGGGAGGGTTGTTCTGGAGTAACTCCTGCAATGTGTCAAACAAGAGTGCATTTGTGTGTGTGTGTGTTTGTGGTGGGAAGGGGGGTTACTGACGCAATCAGCCTGAGAACATTGGCACCTTCGATTGAACAGAGAAAGTGTTTTTCTCCGTTGAATGAATTAACTTGCAGAAGCAAATAGGAATTACAGTTGAACCAGTGTCTGTTCAGTGTTCTGGATGATGCCACTGAAGATGAAAAATCATATTCTTACATGAAATCATATAGATCTTTTTTTTTTAAAGAACACTCAAAGTAACATATTTTTAAGGCTTCATTCGAAACAAAATGAACCCTGATTCAAATAGAAAGCATTTGCAAACTGTTGCCTCAGTATTGCAAAGTCAAGAAAAGCAGCAGATTATGAAGTTTATTTAAGCCTTTTTTTAGTGGCACATTTTGAATCCCTTGGGCAATTTGCAGATTTCTGCCGATTTCGGCAAATTGCACATTAAATTCTGACAAGCATGTAAATATAATCTGTTTTTCAGTTATTATCGTTAGCAGGATTCTTCTCCGAAAGACATTCATTACATTTACATATGGCACAAGTCCTTATCTCCATCTCAGAAATAAATAAATAAATCAAGGCAGCATTCATTGGACTTGATCTGATCTGACTTTTCTATATATAAATGTTGCATTATATAAATGTACCTGTAGTGTACAGCCTTAAAAGCCACACAAAGAGGGGTCCAACTCGTCATCTCAGTCACTGCAGCTGTGAGTCCAATAAGTCTAAATTAAATTAAGAGATAAATGATGTCATCTGTCATTGCCAAAGCCATTACAAATGATTTTATATTTATACATTTATAAGGTTTGATGAGGTTTAGGCAGAAAAATGACATGGTTAAAACAGTACCTATTTAGCATTGCATTCCTATAACCTTGTCAGACCTACAGTAGATCACAATGAACCCAGCAGAACAATAAAGGTAAGCTCCACACAATTCCACATCCCTATTTTCAAACTTGTTGTCTTCAAAGAAAACCGACGCTGACTCACGTGACATCACACAGCTCCTTCCTTTAACCACAAAAGGGATTTATACCACTTTTTTCACATCAAACTGACTTTAATGTGTAAAACAGAGTAAACACAGTTTGAAAATGCTTTTTATTTGACTCAGGGTTCAATGGTTTTTAGATTCTTTTAATATTTTTAGATTTACGTTTTATTTTTGTGTTATGTTTTATATTTTATTTTGTTTTATATTTGTTATGTTATGTATTGTTGTGTATAGAGTGTGTTGATATATGCCAGTGCTGAAGATAAATTTCCATTTTATGCAGATTAAATGGTCAATAAAGTAATCTGAATCTGAAAAATAGAGTTTCCCTTTAAGGTCGTATAAATGGTTAAAAGAAACCCATATAACTAACAGTGGTCTTTCGTCACAAGCTTTGTTAATTCATTGCTCTATGAGGTCTATTGTTTGGTGTTACAATAACGTCACGCTACTTCAGCCGTAGCTCCTTCACACGAGAGGTCCTCGTCATTAAATACAATCAAATGTTATTTTGGGCATTTTAACAAACCAATAATATTGCCATTTGTCTTGTGAGCTACAGTCTAGTGAGTCAGAATAAAGTTCTTCATGGGCCCAATATGCACTCTGTGTTGTTTCCTTCCCTCAACCTAACTGTCCTTCACTGACAGGATCTGAGAATTAGAGCTGTCAACATGTTGAGAGTAACGCTGTTTTCTTCATAAAACACATCACTGTCTTCATCTTCTTTAGTTAGCAAGGTTTATTTGGAGGCAGTTCTGCCATAATAATACACTGAAACATTTAAAAAGAAAACTTAGAAAGGAAGTCAGTCAACCAAACAAAGGATATACAGAATACCAATCTATCAGATTTGTCACTTTCTTTTACAAAGGTGAAAAGGATTCTGTTAAAGCAAATATGCAGGATTTTTCTAATGTCTAATCACTAGTTTTTTAGCTCTATGAGTTGCTTGTGTTAAGGGTTGTGTTTTTCAGACTGACCTTCAAAGCAGAATTGGATTTGAAAAGACACAAATACCATGTGCTTTATTTCTTTTCACAGCTCACAGTTTACTGTACATCATTCCCATCAGGAAAGTACAAACAGTGAGTACTGTAGGTTGTCTGTTTCCTTTATCAGGATGGCTGTGCAGTCTGGATCAGATGTTCTGACAGCCACATCGATGGTGTTAATGAT